TTATGAGAAAAAAAAATCTATTATGTTGACAGTGTCACACGAGCTTTTCAATGATTGGTTGCTTGAATAGACATATCAATGAATGTTATTCCTTTTTATATTTATTGATTTGTCTGATGACATTCTATTTATTTTGTTTAGGTAATTATTTTCCGTTGAGACATGGCACATCAATGCTTTTTTTTATTCTACAGATCGGTTGTGCATAACTTTAGCAAAAAAAAAGCGGAAGCACATTGAAAAAAATGGCTTATATTTATTTGAGCAATAAAAATATTGGAATGAGTAATAATTCAAATACAGTTTAGCAATAATTTTTGAGCAATAAGAAAAGTTTATTTAAGCAATTTTATCATATTTTAAATGAACAATAAATATAAAGTTGGGTGCTTGTTCACTTTAAACATATTCCATACACTAATTGGCGTATTTAACGCTCACACATCAAAGAGTGCGGGTGAGAGCATATGTCGAAAGTGAACAAGTACCCAACTTATTTTTTATTGAAATGAACGACTGCTTATTCAACATAATTATTGCTCATTTAATTTATTTTATTGCTCAATTAAATAGAAGTCAAAAAAAAATGCTCTCCTAACAATATTTTTTTTTCTAGTTTTGATTTATAAAAAGAGATGAGAAAAAAAAAAGAAAAAACCAAGTCTATAATATTGCAATATATGAAATAAAGTATATTTACCTTGCTTCTATTGCACTCGTTTTTTTTTTTCATTCCTCTTATTCTTTACTTTTTCTTTTCCAACGCACTTTTACTTCCTTTTCATCTTCTGTCATCTGTACTTCTTAGAGATTCAACAATTGAAAAGAGTTCTATATATTATGTGTACAGATTGATATCATAAAAACTGCTACGTGTCTTACAAGATGCTTCATCAATGGTTTTCAATTTTAAATTCGCTTACCGTTGTCTTATTTCTTTCGAGTATAGTTGTTACTATTCTTTTACGTATATTATGTAAAGATAATCCGCGTTATAGTCGAATAGTTGGTACTGTAAGTTGAAGAAATTAAATCTATATTTGTGATTGTTTTATTTTTCTATAGGGTAGTGCAAAAGAACAATTTGGATGGAAGCTGTAAGGATTTATCTATTTCATGTCTTTATTTTGATCGTGTATCACATACAAGTCAGTTTTTTGACATTGTTGTTGAGGTTATGTACTTTCTGTATAGTCAAATATTTCGAATACGAAGATTCGTAGATTTATTATCTTCCAAGCTGCTGACTTTTGGTACTAATACTTCACTTAACTATATACTTTCAACTCAAACTACTTATCATCTTTTATATCGATTTTCAACATTCAGCAAAGAACTTTTCAGAAATAGATAAAGAAATTTAAAGCTAACACTTTGTCTATATGTAGATCTCATGATTATTAAAATGTTCGAAAATCTTTTAGTAAAACAATCAGATATTAAATGTATGTCACAGATAAATAAGAAGATTTAATATGAATAATTAAAGGCGTGTTAGTCGCTGAATAGAAATAATAAAGAAATAACATTTACATCTTGAAAATGATTTTCGAATTCGAATAAAGAAAATGACATCAGTTAATGAATAAAATTTCGTTTCAAACTCTTTTCTTTGAATTTTCAAGAATCTCTTGTTTATAAACAGTTCATAATGAAAATTTCTTCAATATTTTGATTAATGATATGAAGATATAATCGTAGAGATATGAAAAATCAAATGTCCAAGGTAGTTACAGTTAGAGTTTATTCAAAAACAATTGAATATTGATATATTCTTTATAAAATCTAATGTTATTTTTGTTTTTATTCTGTTTTATTTTCAAATGATAGAATTAATGGTGATGTATTTCGTCCACCACAAAAATCTATACTTTTGTCTACTCTTGTTGGTAAAGGTGTTCAAATTGCAATGACATTTTTAATCACATTAGGTAGATTGTTTTGTTTATTTTCAATTTTTTTTTTGTCAAAATTTCTTTATTTAGTCTTCGCTACACTTGATTTTTTCTCGCCAGACAAACCTGGTGCTTTACTGACTTGTAAGTATTTTATTCTATTCTTTTTCTTTCTATCTATTTCATTTGAATGATTAAGGTCTTATCCTATGTTATATTATTTTTGGCATTCCAGCTGGTTATACTTCAGCTCGTTTATATAAAAGTAGGAGAGAATATTTATTATAAAATGACTAATTGATTTTTCATAGTGTTTGGCGGTACAAATTGGATGATAATTGCTCTAACAACAACTGTTACATGTCCAAGGTAACATTTAAATTGTTTGGTGTTTTTTTTCTAAAAATAAATTATTTCTTTGTTTATTTCAGCTTAATTATTCTCATGTTGGTTTTTGTAAATATTCTTCTTTGGGCAAGTATTAGTTCAAGAACTCTTCCACGTACTACATTTTTAGCATTACTTGCTCTTTGGTTCTGCATATCAACACCATGTGTATTCATTGGAGCTTATCTTGGTTTCAAACGTTCAGTAAGAATGAAAAATATTTTTCTTTTTATATAATTTCTCTTAAAATAAAGGTTTATAAAAATCCTCTTCCAATTAATCAAATTCCAAGACAAATACCTGAACAGCCTTTTTACACTAAACCATTATTAAGTATGTTAATCGGTGGTATTCTTCCATTTTGTTGTATTTCTATTCAACTATCTTTCATCTTCAAAAGTATTTGGTAAATATTTTTATTTTTTATTTTATTGATATGTATTATATGTATATAGATGAATTTAGGGCTCATCAATATTATCATGATTTTGGATTTTTACTTGTCGTATATATAATTCTTATAATTACATGTTCGGAAATAACAATTTCTCTTTGCTATTTACATTTATGTACTGAGGTAAAATTTCATTTTATTTGATAAAAAAAAAAAAAACTTAAATTTTTGATTTTTGTAGGATTATAATTGGTGGTGGCGTTCATTTTTAACATCGGGTTTTACAGGTGTCTATGTCTTTCTCTATTTACGTTTTTATTTTGTGACTGAAGTAAAAATATCTGATGGAATATCAAGATTTTTTTATTTTGGTTATACATTAATGGTAACATTTAGTTTATTTTTATTAACCGGTAAGTTAAATATTCTTGTATAATCTATTTAATTATATTTTATTTAGGTACAATCGGTTTTCTTGCTTGTTTTTGGTTTGTTCGTATAATCTATTCAGTTATCAAATTGGATTACATGAAGCAAGCATCGATCACTGATATATCTAATTATTTTAAATGAAGTTTGGTTGATAATGGATCAGTTTTAAGCCATCTAAACATTTCATATCCTTTTTATCCTTGAATCTAGATGATAAAATCATGTATCCCAACTAATTATTATATATATTATATACGCTATGATTGATTTAAAAATCTCTAATAATAAAATCTC